CGGCGACGCGCGGCTGGGCGTAGGACCCCCGCCCAGTGGGCTGAGGCAGCTTGGGGGCTCCGGGAAGCTGGCGCCTGGGGTCGTCGCTGCACCTGCGGGAGAGCCCCCGAAGAGAGGGACGTCGGCCAGTGCTGCCCCGGGGCCAGGCTTTGGCTTCCCGTTTGAAAGGTTCGCAGGGATGGCTGTTCCTGGGGCACTGAGGTTTTGGGGGGTTCGCGCAGGGGCAGCTGAGGTCACAGGGAGCTGGGTACAGTCGTAGAGCTTTGTCCCCGGAGTCTCCGGCTGGGAAGCCTGCACCCCGCAGGACTGGCTCCAGGCTGCCGTGAGGTCGGCGCGGGCCTGTGTCGGGAGAAATGAGGGAAACTGCTCATTCAAATATGATTTACAGGAAAATCTGCTTACACACTGCGCGGTTACTCCGCAGGTATGTGCGTAGAGGAGGAAGCGATTACTTTAAAAACAAATTATCCCGTCGTGTTTGTGTAGAAAACAATCTGATTTTTTTTTTTTTTTTTTATTGAGACAGGGTCTCACTCTGTAATTCAGGCTGGCCTGGAATGCATTATGGCCTTAAATTTGAGGTAGTCCTCCTGTCTCAGCCTCCAGAGTGCTGGATTTACAGGTGTGCACAGCTGGAAATAATCTGAAAGATGAGGGTGACACCAAAGGACTTCAATATTAATTTTTTTGGGGGGGTACTGGGGGGGTCGAACTCAGGTCCTTTCACATGCGAGGCAGGTGGCAGAACCACTAAGCTAAATCCCCGGCCCTCAATATTAAATTCTAATGTATGAAAAAAAAGTCTAGGCTGGGCGTGGTGACGCACGCCTGTAATCCCAGCACTCAGGAGGCTGAGGCAGGAGGATCGCTGCAAGTTTGAGACCAGCCTGGGCTACACAGTGAGTTCCAGAGCAGTGAGACCCTGACTCAAAAAACAAACAAAAAAGAAAAGAAAAGAAAAAGTCTAGATTCTTTACAAAGAACATAAATTACTTTTCCAGTGGGGGAAAAATGAGGAACAAACCCTCAAGCAGAATTGTCACTTCTGGTCATTCCTTTCTCCTTCTGCTGCTTACACTCCCCACGTTTGCTTCCCTCTTCCTGTGTCCCTGTTCTATTCCTGACCTTGTCCCTGCTGGTCATCAGAGCCCATCTTCTGCTGCCAGCTTCTTCAGGAAAAGGTCCAGGTTTCCTCACCTGTCACCATCTTCTGTGGGATGTGGTTGGACTGATCCGAATCGGCCTCACCCACCCTTTGGGTAAGCAGCTTAGTGATACAAATCAGGAATTATAAAATGCCCTTGCCCTTTGACACAATACTTCCACTCCAGGAAATTATTCAAAATATGGGAAAAGCCATATGCCTGAAGATTTCCAATGCATTGTTATTTATTACAGCAAAACAAAAGAAGAAAAACTACTTAACATACCCCAAAATAGCTAAATATTTAAGTAAATTATGGCCAGCACACATGATGGAGAAGCACCACGCACTGTCACGCCCAAACAACTTAAATATCCAGCCACATTTGATAGATGATGTGTGATCAAAAACTACAGTGAATATCAAACCATTATTAGGTTTATTAGAGTAAGACACATTCTTACTGCTTTAAACACAGTTATCCCTGGTTCTTGCCAGTCTGAAGCAGTTCCGAAAGCCCTTTCTCGGTATCTTTGTCGAGGTTGTCTCCGTCTTTACCTTTTGTGGTGATTCTGACTTTGAGGAAGAGCCAGAGTTGCATGATGCCAGGTGCGGTGAGTAGATGGAAAAGAGGGCACGTCACGTCTTTACAGACTGCCTTCCTTTTGGATGGCACCCGCCAGCAGCACTCGCTGTATTTTTTAATCACACATCACGAAGAGAACCTCCAGAAGCACTTCAGAAAGTGGCGAGAATGATGTGTGCTCAAAGCAAGGCAGAGTATTCCAAGGGGGATTAATTGCAGTGTTTCTTTTGCTGTATTTTTTTTAAAAGTTAAATTTTCACTGTATACTTCACTCACTCTCATAGCTCAGGAAGTCTGTGAAGCCATTGGGAACAGTTACATATGCTTACACTCACTGGCGTGGAAACGTATCTGTGACATATAATTAAGGGGAAAATTATATGTATATGGCCCTGAATTCAATCCCCAGTACCAAAAAAAATCAAAATCCATGCCAGGCATACTGTCACACACCTGTAACCCCAGCACCTGGCAGGCGGAGGCAGGAAGAGTGCTGCAAGTTCAAGGCCAGCTTGGGTTGCGTAGTGAGTTCAGGCCAGCCTGGACTACACAGGGCAACCCTGTCAAAAAAGGAACAAACCCCCCAAAATATCAAAATCCTTATGAAAAAAGTATAATAACAATCTCTGCCATCGTATCATAAGGCAAAATGCAAAGTATGAACTGTGCACGGTGATGAAAATGATTAAAAACAAGATGCCTGGGGAATAAAGATGGAGGGGTTCAAATACTAGTGTTAGGGTGTTGGTGTTATGGCTAAGTTTTTCTCTATTTTCCAAGCTGTGTGAAGTGCAATTTTCAAATAAGAAAGTTGTTTGAAGGAGCGGTTGGTGCTTTTCTAGTGGGGTGGGCAGCATGTCTGAGTCCCTTGGGGCACATTTCTTGCATAGGGCTTACCCCAGCCCAGGTCGAAATTTCCTAATGCTGCTCTCTGTCCTAACCATCAGGATCCTGCCCAGGCCGTTAGACACTCCCTCTTCCATGCTCCCAAGCCCTTTAGGTCATCTGTGTTTATTTATCCATCCCCTCCCCCTTGCTCATAACAGAAACCGTCATTTATTGAATGCTTACCATATGCCAGGCAGTTTGCTAAACACTTTTATACCCACTCTAATTAAAAACGTCTACCCTATTCTGTGAGGTAAATACCATTTCACAGATAAGCAAACAGGAAGCATCAGTAAGTTCATGGTGACAGAGGTGTGCGCAGGTGACCCAGCTCCCAGCCTCCTCGCTGATCACAGGTTGTCACCCTGCCTTCCCCCACCAGAGCTCCCTGCAGCGGGGCTCACCTCAAGGCTTGAGATGCTGACCCAGACTTGACCCCCAGAAGGTTCCTCATGAACACAGAACACAGGAATCTCTCGGACAGGCCAGGGTGATGTCTAAGAACACAGGCTCTACCTGGACCCTCTTCGACCAGGAATCTCCGCAGAAGTTGCCCGAAGGGGTCTTGAACACTTGCCTGTGAACGTGGCCGGCTTGTTCGTGGTCCTTGCCAGCATCTGTCTCCTTCCCTCCCTCGAGACACTGAAGGAGTCCCTGAGCTGCTTCCTTTATAACCTCAGGAGCAAAACCATCCTGCCTCATCTTCCCAGCCCTTTTTGTTCCTAGCCCAGGGGCAACTCGGGAGAGTGACCCCAGACAGAGCGTGTAATTCACAGGCGCACATGACTGCCATGCGATGAGCACGTGGTGGCTTCCTCTCCCGGACCTTTTCCAAATTAACCTTTCCTGACTTCCTCTGCGTTTGGGTGCTGCTCATTTCCTCGGGGTCCATTCCTCGCCTTCCCATCGCAGACGTTGTGGTCAACTCCTGTGTTTAGTGAGTACGGTTATGGGAAGAAGATAGGGAATTAGGCTCATTTAATCTGTTAAATGATGAAGTTGGTTTATAAAGCTGCCAATCCCAGAAGGATGCAAAACTTGCCCAGACCCAGGCTGTAAGATCGGCTTGCTCAGGCTTGAGCCCTGCTCTACCACCTTAGCTCTGCTGCCTCTGCTCCTCCATTTCCCCCACAGTGACATGGGAGCAATAACAGCAGCATTCTCCTCACAGGGTCTCATGGGGGGCAGAAGAAATAACTCCTCAGCTAGTGGACTTTCCACTTTCCATCTTAGCCAGAGCAGCTGTAGTCTCAGCCTGCTGGGGCTCTGAAGAGCTGAGCGGCTAAGGAAAATGAGCAGGGTAAAAATTTTAGCTTGGCTTGAAGAAATCTCCAGCCATCTCCCCCTCCTTTCTTTTTTATTCTCCTTCCTTTTCTTTTGCTGTCATCTCTCTCTCTCTCTCTCTCTCTCTCTCTTTTTCTCTCTCTCTCTCTCTCTCTCTCTCTCTCTCTCTCTCCTTTTGCACTGAGCTACATCTCCAGCACTTTTTATTTTTTATTTTGACACAGAGTCCTATCAAGTTGCTAAATTGCCCAGGCTGTTCTGAAACCTGAGATCCTCCTGCCTCGGCTCCCCAGAGTGCTGGGATCACAAGCGTGTGCTACAATGCCTGGAAAAAAAGGCCTTTAAAAGGCAAAATGGCAGCAGGGCATGGTGGCCCATGCCTGTAATCTCAGCACTTGCGAGGCTATGAGTTAAGACCAACCTGGGCTACATAGTGAGTTCCAGGTCAGTCTCAACTACATAGTGAGACCCTGTCTCAAAAAAAAAAAAAAAAAAAGCGAAACGGGGCTACTGTGTTTATTCCCAGTAATCCACCCTCATGCCATAGCGTGTGCTTTTTTCACTTACTTTTCCTTGGCCTAAGCTCACTCTGCAGAGCCTGTTTCTTTCCCTACCTTTAATAAATATAAAACCTTAAAAAAATAAAAGAAAAGTCAGGTGGTGGATTTAGCTCAGTGGCGCCACACCTGCCTCACAAGCACGAGGTCCTGAGTTCAGTCCCCAGTACGCAATAAATAAATAATAAAAAGCTGAGTGGGTGGTAGTCTGCCCCAGTATGCTATTCATGTAATGATTGCTTTAGCGCAGAGAAAGCTTTTCTTTTCTTTTTTTTTCCTCATTGAGTTTATTGGTACATTTTAGGTATACAGTACAGTTAGATTCATCATTGGGAACTTGTACCTATACATGACAGGTCTTGGTTCTCATTTTTCCCCATACCTTGCCCTCCCTTCACCCCCCCTTCAATATTTACAAAAACTATTTCCATTTCTTCCTTTTTTCATATTTTTTTCTTGTCTCTTATTTCCTTTCCCCTACCCTTCCCATTTCCCCTACCCCTTTAGCCCTTTTCTTCCTATTTCTCATTGTCAATTATACCATTAGGATCTTATTTACAATTATAGTTTTTCACACCAGAGAAACTATTTGGTATTTACACATGTGTGACTTATTTCACTTAAGAATATGACCTCAATACATCCATTCTCCTATGAATGACTCTAGTTTCCCGTTTTTTATGGCTGAGTAGTACTCCATTTTATAGAAAAAACACATTCTTTTTAATCGAGTCTCCAATTGATGAGCAAATGGGCCGTTTCCGAGTTTTAGCTATTACAAACTGTGCTGCTATAAACATGGGTGAGCATATATCACTGTGGTATGACTCTTTTAATTCTTTTGGAAAGATACCCAGCAGAGGGATGGCTGGGTCAAATGGAACCTCTAGTCCCAACTCTTTGAGGTATCTCCATACTGATTTCCATAGTGGTTGTACCAATCTGCACTCCCACCAACAATGGAGGAGGGTTCCTTCACAGTGAAAGCTTTTCTCTGTGTGAGGAGGATAGGGTTTGGTAGAATAAGTTAATTAACTCACAACCATGAGGGACCATACTTCTCACAGACCTGTCGCCAGGTCTATGGCCCATGTGCAAGAAGGACATGGGTTGCAGCAACATTTTGGCAAGAGGGTGGAAGGGTGGATCGCCTCCCTCCTAAGAGCCTGAGCCCTCTGTGCCCGTGCAGGCAAGAGGCGCCAACAGCTGCCAGGTCTCCTGGGAAGACATGGGCTTCTGAGAGTTCACTGTGCAAACAGAAAGTGCTTCGGCTCTTCTGTGAAGGAAAAACTTCTGCAGAAAGCCATTCAGGTTTTCACAGCAGCACATCCATTGATGAGAGCACTGTCTTTAGCACACACAGTACTGCTGAGCCTTGTGGACATACCTGGTGAAGGGGATACAGCAAAGTCAGAATGAAAGTTCTTCTCAGGAACAAAAGGATGGGCAGATGAGTCATGGAGTCTGTCCATGGAGCCTGTAAAGTGGGGGGAAGACCTACCCTTCAATTGACCATTGAGTCCATGAGATAAGCCAACAGTAGGCAGAGTCACAGGAGAAAAGGTACATAGATGTACTGCTTTTGTGGGGTCATATTGTGAAGGAAAAGTGAATCCCCCAAACCCAGGATAGAGGCAAGGGAGGAAACAAGCAGTTTAGGGGAGAGTAAGTGATTTTTTTTTTTTTTTTGGTACCAGGGATCAAACTCCAGTCCTTGTGCTTTCAAGGCAGGTAGCAGAAACACTGAGCTAAATCCCCAGCCCAAGAGTGATTTTGCAGAAAGATGGGCAGCCCACAGAGAAAAGGTGGCAGCTCGTGATAAGATCTGCCTGGATGTGGTGTTAATTTTCAGTGTCCTCTCCTGTGAGATGAGTTGATGAGATTTGGGGGGACCTGTCCTGAGGCAGATAGGGGAAGATCTGTGAAAGCCTCTTCCTGCATTGCTGCCCGCCCCAACCTCAGTTTAGAGTGGCGTATTTGGGGGTAGCAGTCCCTACACACCCTCAGTCTACCTCAGAGGAGTCAGACAGCACTTTTGCTAGTTGTGCCATCTGTGTTCAAGGCCCAGGGGAAGGTGCCTGGCCTTTAACCCACAAAATCAGGGACTGTAAGGATTTACCCACAGACCCTTGGCCCACAGAAGGGTGGCTGGCACGGTGAGAAAGCCTGGCTCTCTGCCTTCCAGGAAGGGAGAGACCTCCGAAGGACACCTCTGAATGGCCAGTGTTCTGGTTACTCAGAGCTTGGTCCTAGTCCATCTAGAAGAGTGTCTGGGGTGGTGGGTTTGTGTCTGGGCAGGAAGCGAGGTTGCAGGGCCGGAACTGCCATGGAGAGCATTTCAGTGGAGTGACAGGCCACATAGAGAGGTGACCCATAGGCTCTGATATCAGACCCCACGGAAATGCCGCAGTGTTGTGGGCCCTGGCTTTGGAAAAGAAGCCTAGGAAATGAACCCATGCAGAGAAGTAAGTGTTCTGGTGTGTAGGGTACAGACTCAGGCCCTTTGAAAGCCATGCAAGAGAAGTCCTTTTAATGAGAAAAGCTGGGACATCATTGTCCCAGGGCCCACTGCTACTGGGCTAGAGAGGACCCTATGACTTTCACATCTTTTTTACAAGAGAGGAAGCAAAGGGAAGGAAACCATTGGTGAAGGTGTGAAACTGACCTGGGCCTAATAGGATGAGTGTGGCCAAATGTCTGCCACTGAGGGAGAGGGACAGCAATCCTCAGACAAACTCCCAACCTAAGCCAGGGAGATGGACTACTGGAGACAGCCAGCCTGGCCATCCCTGGCCCAGCCTGGGTGGCTCTGACCTGCAGGAGGTGCCATGACATAGGGAGGGCCCTGAGCCACCTGTTGCTAAATTCAGATTCCTGAGCTCTCAGCTGGTTACCTTGAGTGACACTAGGACAGATATATTTGTTCTTCAGTCTGTTTCCTTGCATACAACTCCTAAAAGAATAGATGTCTTTATGTATGCTCTTGAGCTGACTGGAAGCTGGCAGTCCCAGGGTAGCTTTGGATGATGGATGATCCCTTGATGATACCAAAGCAGGGTTAGAGAGTTGCCACATTCAGCCTCATCCTCCAGGCTCAGGGAGGGGAGAGAGGTTGGAGGCTGGGTGATCTCCGCTGGCCAATAAATCAAGCAATCACGCCCATGTGATGAAGTCTCCAAAGAATGCAGAAGCACGGGGTCTGCTCAGTTTCTGGAGGACACATGGCAGCTCAGGGCGGGGGGAGTCTCCCAGAGACAGCAGAAGCTCCAACCCCACCCCAATACCTGGTACATCTATATCCTTTGCAATATCCTTTATAATAAACCAATGAATGCAAATAAAGTGTTTCCCGGAGCTTTGTGGGCCACTCTAGCAGATTACTTGAGCTGGAGGAGCAGACTGTGGGAACCTCGATTTAGAGCAGGTTAGTCGCATCACAAGTCAAAGAGCCTGTGACTTCAGATCGGCATGAAAAGTGAGGAGCAGTCTTGAGCCCCTACCCCAGGAGGACCTGACTCTGTCTCCAGGTGGATGATAAGAGAATGGGGTTGAATTGGAGGACGCTCAGCTGCTGTCCAATGCAGGAGAACTGATGGGTGTGTCACGGGGGGAGTAATCCCCCCCCAACACATTTCAGGGACCATGGGTCACAAAGTGTTCTGTATTGACTGTGTTTGAGAGTTGAGTCAGAAACGAATTTTTCACTCTCAGGCCTTGTGTCTGGCTGTAGCTTTGGCTGGCTTTTTAGACCCTGTGTCCTGGATCTTTGATGTTGGAGTGAACAAGGTGAACCTACTCTTGGCCAAGGTGTTAAGGGGTACAAGGAGAAGTGGTGAAAAGTTACTGTGGTACATCTCCATATGGTTCTTTCATGTGTGACAGAGAGAGAGAGTGAGAGAGAGAGAGAGAGACTAGGGAGTGAATCCTGGGCCTTCATACTGAACTACATCCCAACTTTTTTTTTTTTTTTTTAATCAGGGATTGAACTCAGGACCTTGCACTTGCTGGGGAGGTGCTGTGGTGCTGAGCGAAATTCCCAGCCCCCCCCTTCCCATTAAGTTTATTGGTACGTTTAAAGCAAACAGTACAGTTACATTCATCATTGGGATCTTGTACCCTTACATGATATGTCTTGGTTCATTTTTTCCCCATATCCTGGCCCTCCTTTTCACCTCCTTCACACTTACAAAGACTTTGTTTCCATTTTTTCCTTTTTCCACATTTTTTCTTTTCCCCCTCCGCTTCCCACTTCCCCCAGGCCCCTTTTTTAGTTTTTGAGACAAGGTCATACTAAATTTCTAAATTACTCAGGCTGACCTCAAGTTTGCCATCCTCCTGCCTCAGCCTCCTGAGTGCTGGGGTTACAGGCATGCACCACCACACCCGAAGGAAGGTGATTCTTCTTTTTTTTTCTTTCTTTCTTTTTCTTTTTAGTACCAGGGATCAAACTCGGGCCCTTGATCTTGCAAGGCAGGCTCTGGAACCACTGAGCTAAGTCCCCGGCCCAGGGAAGGTGATTCTTGAGGTCTCTGAAGTCTGATGCTCCCTGCCACAGCAGGGGCCTCCTCCCGCAACTACCCACACTAGAGGAGATTGGCCCAGCCGGGCCAGCGGTGCGCTTAGCGGTGCACGAAGGAATCTAAACCGCCTCGCATGTTCCTAGGAGCCATTGCTAGGTCTACTCAGCTGATCCCAAGCCCCTGCAGTGGGCAGGGGGCACAGAAGTCCCCAAAGAAGTATGGTGGGCACCGTGAGGACATCGGGGAAGCCATCGCCCTGGGCGCCCTCGCGTCTACCGTATAGTCTTAGGGGCCCGGCTCTCTGAGGGGCAGAGGCACACACTGGTCTGGCGGAGGGCGTACGCGCGATCCCACGGTGGGGCCGCAGCGCGCAGCTGGTGCCCAACGGCGGCC